CCAAAAGCGGGTTTCGGCAGCGGTTCTGCCTGTCGAAATCCATGAATTATGATTTTTGATTGAAGTTGAGTTATTGCAATTCAATTTATTATAAATGCGGTTGCTACTGCGAACCTTGCACCCCGCTCACTCTCCCTCTTCCACCTCTCTCTCTCTCTCTCTCACTCTCGCTTCTGTTGCTGACACTTCTCCGCTCGCCTGGCGGTCGTCGCCTGCACAGGACATTGAACTATGAGTTCTTGGCGTGGCCAAATTTCCGTGTGTGTTTGTGTGTGTGTGTGTGTGTGTATGAACCGTTTTCGACACTTTTGCTAAATTTATTGCCGATTATTTTTACATTTCTTTCTTCTTTCAATTTGTATGCCAACCCCCCCCCCCCCCCCCCCCTCCACCAGCCCGCTTTCCACAAGCAAACGTAGTTTTTGGGTGCCGCGGCAATTATTTTTAACGTTTTTGTTGATTTTCCATTGATTGTTTCACGTTCGCTTTGCTTCCCGAAATATACTCTATGTGTCTACACGTTCTTGAGTATTGAATGACACCTTTTCATCCCAGAGTTTGTACCGATGTCAAATAGGCCGACAGATGTTCATAAGTTGTTCAAGATAATGTGTAAAAATTCAAAAAATAAAACATAATTGTCGTGATATAAGAAAAAGCAACAAAACATATAATAAATGTGTGCTGCTTTTTAGTAATTAGGCAGAAAATGTCCTATGCAAATATTTAAAGTAGAAAAATTGGAAATATATTATTACAATTTCCTCAAAACTAAACAGTTATATAAAAACTTATATTATCAAAGATCAGGGGTATCAAATCATAAGTATAACCATAAGATGAAAATAAAAAACATCAAATGCTTTTACTATATAAAAAAATGTTAGAAAATCGATATCTGAGTAAATCTATAGCTGAATCTGGATGCATTTTAACTATCTCCATATAATATTAAATTTAAATGAAATTGGAAAAATTAGATCTGGTACGAAATTCTTGTGCGATTGATGTATTTCTTGTCCCCAATCAAAAGTACTTCAGAAAACAAGGAAATTAGAACAAAATTAGAAGACATACTTGACATGCCAGATAGTTTGTTTCTAGATTAGGTAAGATATACATATTACAAAATTTTTAATTCACATACGAATCGTTTCATTTATTTGCCTGAAATCAGGTCGAAAGAATAAATCCACAAGGACCATATTTACGCTGAGGCTCAACCTAATTAACATTAAGCGAGAAACCAGATTTTAGTGTTGAGTAACGAGTTAAAAGAAATATTGTAGTTAATCTAACAAAGAGTTCACGAAGCAAAAACAATTCCTACACAAGCGCTATATCATAAATATGTTCGATAAGCAGCTGCTATATGTGGACATGCCTAGATCCATATATAATGCTGCATATGCCTGACGTCGACTACTGTCGTCTATTGGCGGTACATAAATCAGAAATGGGCCAACTGGCCGGGACATTTCTCATGCGCACACATGACTTGGCTTGCAATTAAGAGAAATATATTAGTCTCGCAGCTGATTTAATTATTTAACAATGAAGTCCAAGAGCGAATGTTTTATGCGTTAGCCGCGGACGCCAAATGCGGCGCCAGGACAATGACCAGGACACGCTCGCATGCGGCGATAAACAAGAGCGCAGTTCCAGTTCCGAGACCGTCCCGTCTAAGCGCTTCAGACAACCGCATCACAGTCAGACAAAGGCATCAACCGGGGCAAGGCTGGCGGAAGGGGAGCGAAGGGGAGGGGCGGCAGGGACGTGTGATTAGGTGTGGGTTCTGTAATTGCACCAACGCGCATAATTCATATCAAATGACCATTTTAAAATCCTTTTATTTCGTTGCCCCGTCCTGGGGGGTTGAACGGGCATTCGCTCAGCCCGCAGCCCAAAATATTTGAAATAATAATTCTTCGAGATAAATTACCCAAAAGCAGGTGTGTGTGTGTTTGTGTGCCACTCTAAATTGCCCAGGTCCTGCTGCCCGTCCTGCTGTCGGTCGTAGTTCTGGTTATGGTTATGGTCTTAGTTCTGCCCTCCCAGCGCGAGACAATGACACAGAGCCGCAACAACAACAACAACAACAGCCACAACCAAGGCAGGCTATCACTCCTCCAGCCAGTCACAGTCACAGTCCCGAGCCCGGACACGGACACGGACACGGACACGGTTTCCCATTCGAGCTCGTGCAATGGCAGTCGGTCAGTGGACAGTCGTCGAATGGCTGCAGTACGGCGGATGGGCTTAAGTGCTCGGCTCCTGGCTCCTGGCTGCTGTTCGTTCCCGTTCATCCCGTTTGCGTTCTGCGTTTGGCATTTAGCATCAGGAAATTATGCTGACGCTGCCAACTGGCCGGGCTGGAACGGGTCGGCGTCCGTTGCCGGGCAATCAGCGGCGTCTGCAGATGTGCATGCATGTCCATGTGCCTCGTATCTGTCTCATATCTGCTGCTGAGCTCCTCTGTGCAGCAGCGCCTGCGCCTGCTCCTGGCTTCTGCTGTCCTCATTAAACACACACACACACACACACACGCACATGGAGACGACGCCCGCTCTAATGAGTTCCTGGCCCCATAAGGGCATATGTTGTCCTCACTGGGGCTCTGTGGCTGCCGAGCTGCATCCTCAGTTGATTGCCAGCCCGCTGGCCCGTCTGCTCTGTCACACATCTGGGTGCAAATTATGGCACATTTCAAATACATAGCACCAAGTACACTGAGAGAATCGAGTGTCAAGTTTATTGCAACACGAAAATACTTAAGCTACTTTAAGGATATATAGATATAATTATTTTTGGAATAGATACAAAATCTAGCTCAGCTTAAAGCTTACCGCATATTTAGAGAAATTAGAAAAATATAAGCAAAATACTTAAAATTTAGACTTTAATAAATTATTAAATTTAAATAAATAAATAAATAATTAACAATCAGTTTTTACCAGGAGCTAAAAACTTTAAACAATTTGTTTGCTTTATAATGAAAATTTTATATTAATTCTTATATTTAATAAACCTAGGATAGAGTTGAAAGTATGGATTTATTTTCTTATAAAGTAATATTAAGGGTTTTGCTCCAAATGCCCCACTATTATTTTCAGTGTATTTCGCATTGCAAAATGTGCCGAGCTACGCAGCGAGAAAGAGAGCGCGATAATCGCATAAAAGTTTACATTTATGAAGCTCTGGCTAGGTTCGGATAGGTGCAGAGCTCTACGGCATACATATACATATACACACACGCACGCACACACACAGTGGCACAAATACCTCGGCCGTAAAACATTTGGCTGACGGCAGCATACAAAGACTGACGGACCAAAGGACGGACAGACAGCTGTTTGCAGATAGAGAGAACGCCGGGGTCGGACTAGGCTCAAATGCAATGTGCAGCAGCGATGAGCACGAGATGGAATGGCCGCAGGAGGAGCCGAGGGGAATGTGAGGAGGATTCTGCCAGGGGCGAAAACAAAAAGGCGCGAAAATCCATTCGCACATAAAATGCGCCGCAGTGTGCATTATTTTAATGTCACTGATAAATCATTTTTATGTCGGTGCTAAATCAAAAGATGGACGAGCAAATGCCGTATTTCAAGCGTAGCAGCACGGGCACGGGCACGGGCACGAGCTACGGGTCGAGCGTAGAGTGGGGCGCAGTCGGTGTGTCACACATGCAGCTGGAGCAAGGTGTGTCGAGTGGCGGATGGCGGGAGGCGGGTGCAAGAGGCCACTAGCGTTGCATTCGTCCATTAAAATGCGCTCCGGTGTCCAAAACACAAGCACAAAGGTGCGCCCGGCGCCCTGCGCCCTGCTGCCTGCAGCATGCCCGCCTCCAGCCAAGCCACGTTTATTTATTATTAACACAAAAAAGACCCCGAGGACGAATTGCAGTTGTTGGAAGCGAGCGAGCGCACAGCCTCCTGGCCTAGGAGCCCAGCTAACCAATCCAGCCCAGCTCGAAGGTGCCCCCATCACGACCTACTCCCTGCTCCTTTGGAACGCGCAAGTGCGCTGAGTGGCTCATAATTCGTCGTCGCTTCTCCACTGCAGAAATTCATCTGTTTGTGGTTCAAACACGTGCCGTGCCAGAAATAATGTGCGCCAGAATCAGCAACGACTAATGGGGCTATAAGGCCGCACCACCTCAGCCCACTTCGCTCCCCTTACCACGAATAGAAGTTGGGACCAGCTCATAACTGCACAACCGCGACCGAATATTTTCTTTGGAATATGGAATATTTGAGGAATATTAAAATCAGCGGTTCAGCTACATAGAACAGCCAATAAACATACAAATATATTATGAGAAATTCTAAAGCAGTGACTATTTATCCTTCTATAAGCTGAGCCACGTGAGCGTAAGATTTAAATATGTGCCCCCAAATGTATGCTATATAAAATAATGCATGCATCTTATAATAATTATATTGATTAGAAAATGAATAGCAATAAATTCAATAATAATAATAATATAAATTATAATAACATTACAAATAATAATATTAATAATTATAATAATAATGTAATAATGTATATTAATAATGAGATTGATGACAATATTAGTAAGAGGAATAAATAATAATGCCGTGTAGTATACATACATTCAGTATATATATTTGCATCTGGAGATAATCTATTCGAAGATAAGGATAAACCATGAAAAGTATAATTCACATTTGGACAGACATAAGGCTATAAAGCGATTTAGGAGGCGCCTTTATTAAATATAACTAGAGGTATATAAGAGTTTAAGCACCTTGATAATTAATCCTTTTCGAATTGTGCACAGAAAACAAATCATTAAATCGAGATATGAAATATTGGTATACACAAGGTTGAATAAGAGATGAGCCATCAAACCGATACTCTCTTTTTGGGATATATTCGGATATATTTTTTAATGAATAGGGCCATTCCACGCAATGCACTTTGCTTCCTCTCGAAAATCTTTAAACAAGTTATGCAAACATTCATTAGATGAACAATGGTTAATTTTCAGCTAAGGCGTTCTTTAATTTATTTGCATGTTAAGTTGAATTTATTTTTTGTTTATAGCAGACTCCTTGTCGTGACTGGGCTTAGGGAACAAGCTCTGGCTACGGCAATTGGGTACATCTAACTAGGAAGACAGCTTGCGCAGCAAATATGGGGCCAGTCTAATGGTAGCACAGAGCACGGCAAATACGATGAAACTGGCGCGAACCTCGTCCTTGGCGCGTATCTCGACCTGGGCTGGTTCGATTTGCTTAAGGCGTATCATGGTAACTGCAAAAGTCGAGCAGCTCAGTGAATGTGCGCGAAAGTATGGCTAATATGTTGGGCTTACCTTTTTTTTTTGGAAAATAAATAACGATTTGGTTTGATAAATGAAATTTTGAAGATTTCTTTTCGTTATTCGGTTCTTATTAAACCGAAGCACTTTTGTAAACTTTTGCAGTATTTGACACAATATTCAAAGTTAACAAAATTTTCAAAATTCATTCTTGGGCTTAAATTCCTACGATCAGGTCTGGAGAGGACGCTTAACATGCATAAATCAATAAGAACAAAAAATATTACTCGCACGGTCGGAAAAAGGGTGGAAATCCGAACTAACCTCAAAGTGACTTCACATAGCTAGTGAACAATCGGATAATGCCTGCTAGTAGAATAAATAATTCTCATATAAATCAATCAATAAAGCCCTAAGCCAAATAAATGTATTTTAATAAATAAGATTGATCCACAGGCAACTGATGCAATTATGTCTGTGGTGTAAGTCCAAAAGCTGCGATTAACTTCCACTTAAGCTGGATTTAAATAAACAACAAGTGCTGGGAGACCTGAGCTGACTCAGCTGTAAAGTTGGCCCCAAAGTTGCTTCAAGCTGACAAGGGGAATATGAATCAAATAAACAAACCTCATTAACATATTATCAGCATCAAATTGTGACACGGCCCGTCATTTTGGGTTCAAGTGAGAAATCTGTCACGAGGCATTAAATCGCCTGAGGCAGGCGGCAAGACCGCAAGACGAAGCCAGAAGCGATTTGGCTCCTTGGATATCCTGGGGGGCGGCATGTCACGGCGAGGAGGCAACAATGTCGGCTGACTTGCGGTGTTGTCGCCGGCGGTGGACGTGGAAGTGGAATTCCCGGAATCCGGCACACATAATTATGCGTGTAAACAAGCGTGATGATAGTACGCTGACGTATGATGGCGAAGGTGACGCTCAAGGGTTGAGATTTAACCAGCAACCACCTTGCCGGCTGATGGAATACTTAACTAGTGCAAAACAAATTGCCGAAAATTCCTTACCAGGCCACGCAGCATCTCTGACTGGGAGACGGGTCGGACACGGAGACGGAGACGGAGACGCTTGACTATCGCTCCCTTCCAACGTCAGCGGCTGCCTGTTTTCCGGCTGATTTATTCGTGTTGTGTGTTGGCAACAATTAGAAAAGTTACCGCAGGATGTGCGCCAGCAACCAGCTCTGCTCCGACTCCCTCCGCCCGGGTCTCGAGTCGAAGTCGGAGTCGGAGTCGCAGTTCTCCCGTTCTGGGCCGTTGCGCTGTGCGTTTTAATTTGACGAAAGACTGATGACATCTCATTAATATTCATTGCCGCTGCAAGGCGCTGGGATTTGTGGCCATATATCCTGTTTATGCCCGACTTTATTCATGGCGCCGCCGAATAGTTGTAGTTGCCGCTGTTGTGACCTCACACTTTAGATGGATGGATGGATGGTCCTGCGCTGGAATGTAGATGAGTCCTGATTCTAATGAGGTGTTAAACGGCTTTGACTCGACTGGGGAAGGGTTTGGCTGTTGGGCGACTAAATGATTGACGCTTCGAAATACATCAGCATATATCAGCTGATGAATTGATAAATATATTAAGGATGTTCCAAAAATGTAAGCGCTTAAATAATTAGCATACCCCTTGGGGAAAATGATTGTAAAAAATAAAGAAATAAAATCTAAATGAAATCAGGAACATTGCAACTAACTTAGCAAATACCTATTTTAAGATTTGACCAGATTAGATTAACCAAGGCTGCAAGACAGTCTTAAACTGAATTCATTTTCCTTTAAATGAACCTGGGCCCAATAATGCGGAAAACCAGGTGTAAAACTGATCGCAAAGGAAGGCTGGTTCAAAACATAAAACTAATCATCGATTATTCTGATCATTTCCTATTTAAAATAGGTCCGGAAGTTTCTTCATTATCTTAGCACTTAATTGGGTTAGTTTAAGTGCAGATTGTGCAAATATTCAAATTCAGACCAATTAAGCATTTATTTCTTGTACATTAAAATATAAATAGTCTCTTTGAGGAGCTAATGAACTTAAAATAAAGTGATAAGGCGCCGGAGATACCTTTTCTGCCTGTCCACATCTTGTCAACGTCAGCCTGGAGTAGTAATTATTCCTTGATAAGGCTCTCGTTGCAAAACTAATATCCAGCCTGACTATTGCCTCTTACTATATACTACTCATGTTCCAGGCATGGCCATCATCATCATGCGTAAGAGCAGCCCCCAAGCCTGGTTGTATGTACATACGGATGCCACATATATTTAGCATATTTAAAATGTAATCGTAATCCAGTTTTGTTTAGCAGTTTATGGTCCGGCCCGTGCCGCCCATAAGTATTTTAAATTAACGACAACACTTCAAAATAATTATGAAGCACATGCCGCCAACGTTGCGGAGGCGAAGACAATGGGATGCTGGCAGAGAAAGCATTTATCTCTGGCAACAAACGGTGTGTGTACTTACCGTTGGCACTTTTAAGATGCTGCCGTGACATATTTATGAAGTTCAATTATCATAAAATGCAAATGAAATCGTCATGCCCGAAAACGTCAACCTCGAGCGAAGACCGAAGACCCAACACTAGCAGCTGCAACCCCAAGGCCCAATAAAACAAAACAAGTAGCAGGGCCTAAGAGATGCCTCTGCCAGGTACTGCCCCCTGACCACGCCTTGATCCAGAAGGGGGTGGGTCTAAGGCATGGCCAAAATTAAGCAATTTACTTGCGATATCCGCCAGCGACGCGACGCGCACGCCCGCTCACCCCTTGACCTCAGCACCTCGACAAGTGCTCTAACTGGGCGCGAGACATCTACAAGACGCAGACGTCAGCGTCCGTGTGTCCGTGTGTGTGTATGTGTTTGTTTGGGTGTGGTGAATTTTATCTGTCGACTGGCGCTATTAAAAGAAATTACGCTCAAAACTAAATTGCGGGCCAGCACAAAAGGTGAGCTGCAGCAGCAGCAGCAGGCGATGGAGCTGGAGCTGGAGTTGAAGGTGGGGTCGGTTGCCCCCGCCATTGAAATGAGAAACGATTATGTTGGGCCCGAGCCAGGCGAAGCATAAAGAAGCGAACCGAAGAACAACAGCAGAACTTTTTAACTTGTTTGCGTGTTGCTATTTACAAGTCCTGTGGGACAAACTGAAGAACCCGCTTCGAAGCCGGAGCAGGAGCTGAAGTTCGGGAACAGGTAACACCAATGGCTGCCGCATTGCTGATGTTTGCGTTTTTCGCGCTGCTCCCCTTTCTTTTGTTTTTGGTTATTTGGTGTTTTTTTCCTTTTGCTTTTTTTGGGTTCGGCGTTTGTCTCGGCTTGTCGCTCCTGGCCCTGTCTCGTCCTTGGCCGCATCTCTCACTTGTCGCCTTTTTGTTTGGTTTCTCAAGTTGGCGTAATATGTTTCCGTTAGTTTTCGCTCGTCTTATTCGGGCCGGAGCTGGGCTGGAGGCACAGGATTGCCGCCCCGTTATGGTAATTTAGTGGCGCAATTTTGCGGAAATTGATGCTGGACGCGTTCGGAGCAGGGGAGTCACGGTCACGGGCCACAACCATGGAGTTGCCCGAGGGCCTCTAATTTGCAAGCCAGCCGCATGCTTTTTAATATGCATTTAAATGTAGTACTTAGGTTACATATTGTGTTTGTTATCCCAATAAGGAATTGTGAAACCCTTTATTATTTGCTGGCAATACACCCTGAATATACAAATAAGTATACGCCGCGTTATACACAATGATCTACGGAAAAGTGAAGAGACGTTCATAAAAAACATTCAAGTCGATGAAACCAGGTTTCGGTTCTTACTTGTCAGACTGTGAATTAGGTAACTGCTGCTATTGTTTTTTTATGTTATTATTTTTCATTTATATGATTTATTGTATATCAACATATCCGAATTCAGCTCTTGATACAATGAAAAAATCGTCTAGTAGGACAACAAACAATTTAATGGTGGCATTCCAAATGCTTCGCGCGATTTCCTCTGTTTCTCGAAGGGCTGTGTCCACATCCTTATATACTCCGATGAAACAGAGGAAAACTTTTTGAAATATCTTCAGCAAAATTGTTGTTGTCACCAATACTAGAGTATCAAGAGGAAGAATTAGTATATCTCTCAAGTGGGCCACAGTCATGTACACGGATTTTCTAAGCATCAAATTTAGTTGATCTAATTTTGACATTATACAAACGTTTTTATATGTTTATTTCAATAACATTACTTTAATATTTATGTGGCTTACTATGTCCGGAATCATAAATTCAGGATTATTATTAGCTATGTATTTATTAGCTATGATTATGATCATGATATGATTGTGATCAAATTGCAAAAGAGAGAAGGAGAGAGAGAAATTTCGGTAAGTTTCATAAATTATTAAAATATAGAATAATAGGGGTCATTTAGGGAAATATTTAAAAATATATATAACTCGAATTTATTGGCTAATTGGAAAATGTTTTCTGATCAATAAAGCTTTCTGGCTTAATGATTGTGATGAAATTGCGAAAGAGAGAAGTAGGGAGAAATATTTTATAAATTATTAAAATAAATAATAATAGACGCATTTATTGAAATATTTAACATTATATATAACTCATTGACGTCATCGAATAAATTGGCTAATTGGAATAAGTAAACATTTTCTCTGATCAATAAAGCTTTCTGGCAACGCTGCAGCATCGGAATCGAGCATCGATAACAAATCAGATGCAACTCGATAGTATCGAGTGGGTACATTTCCCCTTTATTATTTGCTGTCCAAGTTTGGGTTTGTTAATTCGAGTACACGCAGACTTAACTGTTTACTTGCTGTCAACAGGCCTCATTGAGCCATATCAAAATGACGTCGACTCCTAGAGATAAACCGAAGCGAACTATTAAATTGGAGCCTCAGTCGCCGTGCCTTGAATTGACGGATATCAAGCCGCGTGATATACGCGTGATAAAAAAGGAATTGCTCTGCCAGACACCTCCTGCATTAGGCTTTTCTGAGAAAAGCGCATTGCAACTGAAGCTAGAAAAAAAGGAGCAGCTTAGCATCAAAAAAGATCAGCCTGGCATTAGTAGGAGGAAGAACAAGAAGCCAGCGGCATCACGGGCACAGTCCGAACTGGAGGATGGCGAGGTGTCTGGTGACGATGGCGAGGAGCTGCTGCCCGTTTGCCGTTTCTATCTGCGCAATAGCTGCACTTGGGGCAACAGCTGCCGCTTCAGGCATCCGGGAGCCACAGATCTGGGCAACTATGTCATGTTCGAGCGCGTTAAATTGCCAGTGGCGCCTTCCCTGTATGACGCCATGGGCACTCATATTTATAGCGAGCTGCCGCCGCCGCCAGACTGGCTTGGCTATCCGCCGGAGCTGGGCCCAGAACTCGAGAGCTCCTTCGATAGAAATTTGCACAGTCTCAAGCAGATAATGCGACAGGCTGGCTATAAAGTGGGCAGCTCGGTTACGCGCCGTCACAAGCATCAGCCCTGGGTGGAATTCAACGACCTGGACACCGATCCGTACTACACGCATCAGGTCGAGCTGTCCGATGATCAACTTAAGGAACGCTCGCCCCTTCTGGCAACGCGGCTCTACAAAAATCGTGGAACCGGCTGTAGCTCAACCCCAAACGACCGCTGCCGATGGCCAAATGATCCGGGCAGACAGGTGAGACTCGAATATAGCAGCCCCAGCAGCAGCAGCACACCCGATTATTCATCCACAACCAACTCGACGAGCTCTTCGTCTGCGACAACAATGTCACCTGCCAATGCTTGCAAGCGCAAGCTCTACCGACAGCTGAAGGCAGCCCAAAGAGAAGTATCCTATACGCCCAAAAAAGGTGGCTATAGGCCCGGTATGAAGAATGTCCTGCGTGCTCCACGCAAGGGTCGTCGGTTCAGCAGCAGCAGCTCATCCACAGACAGTGATTCGTCTAGCTACGGCTCCAGCACACACACCTCGGAGCTGAGCTCCTCCTCGATGGATATGCCTAGCGATAACATCGAACATAACCAGAATTCAAAGAAAAGACTCAGAGGTAGGGAACCTCCGTTAAAAAAGCGCAAATGCCTGACAGCAAAACTACAAGAGGTAGACAGAAAAATCGCTAATAGAAGAAGAGATTAAATCCAGAGCAAAAGTGCCTGAATACTCGAAATATAAATTGATTGATAGATCATTTTCTTTATTAACTAAGCTCATCCCTTTTGAATTGTTGAATAACATTACTTATCCCTTACAAATTCGTTGAATTCTTAAGAATTAAAATCCGAAAGTATTTTTTTGTTATAATTGAAAGTAAAAAATTATAATGCAAAACAAAGTTTTGGAGTGTATATCAAAGAAGCATTTATTTTAAGTTTAAGCTAAAGTTTCCGGAAACTTTTCTATTTGGATAAACGAATGTGTTCATCTTTATTTACGCCATAATTAATTAAGAATAAATGAATAACTATAATCCCAAAAGGAATGTCTTTTGTAAAACAAATATATTTTCGTTGCTTATAATTCTCAATGAGTTATAGCTTCGCAATGGGGAAAAGGGCTAGCAAACCTAACGACAAACCTAACAAAGACAACCTGCTCACTTTTATATCTTGTTGGTTATTCTATCGAAAATTTACATCGTGCCCCTTTAAAAACGATATCGAAAGCTTAGAAATACTTTGTTACCAAAGCATTATTTACGACCGATTGTCCTAATAGGAGCCATATAATATAGTTCTCCGATTTCGTTTTGCAAATATGTTGGAAAAATAGTAAATTTGTAATTGTTTAGTTGGCTCAAAATATCTTGTAAACAGGTCAATTTCCCTTTCGAGCTATTATTCCTATAGAGCTGTATGATATAGTATTCCGATGTTGGTAAAGTTTTGCTTATATATAAGCAGCATAGTAAAACAAATGACAAGTTTAGCAAGATGTCTTTAAACACAGTGTGCAATACAAGAGCTTAATTCAGACAGATCATTCTTATGAAAGCTGTATGATATAGTCGTCCGATCCGGTCGGTTTCGACATATTTTTAGCGTGCAACAGAAAAATGAGACCCATGCAGAGTTTCATCTAGATAGCTTTAAGCTGGATAGAATCAGACAGACAAACATCGAATCGTCCTCTTAAACTGATCAAGAATATATATACTTTATGAGTTTGTAGACGTCTTCTACTATGCGTTAAACTGATTCAAATATAATACGCTCTACACGAATGGCAAAAGTCAGAAGTGAGTTTACGTACATCGGTGTACAAGCTGGAGATCGAGTGACTGATGGAGTTGCGATTGATAACCATTTCTCGCACTTTAATCCTAGGTCGTCTTAGCACCCGTGTATCCCTGAGCAGTACACAAGTCGACGTCTAGTCGTAAGCCCAGCCGAGGCACAACCACAAAATGTGCATTTCCTGGCAGTCACACGGATTGCAATAAATGTGTGCGTGAGTGTGTGCGTGCGTGCGTGTGTGTGGTTGCTGCTAATATCCTTGTTAATATTATTAAACATTATTTATGGATTTGTTTAATTTGTATTTAGTAACGCTTCGCATGCCAGCACCTTCCTCGCCAGCTGCCGGTACGTGCCTCCGCCTCTGATTCGACGGCCGCCGCAAAACTTAAGATCCGCCTGGGCTGCCTGGTTGCCCGGCTGCCTGGTTGCCTCGTGCTGCACTGCTGCCAGCTGGGCCAGCTGGCCGCATATCCTTGCCGCTGGCGCTGCTGTTGTTTGTTTGGCTTTAGCACCCGTCTTAGCCCGCCAGCGGGGCGCACTGTCGCGTCGCCTTTCCCGTTGTCCTGGTGGAACAATTACATGGTTTTGCCTAATGAATTTATCTGCTCATCAGCTCTGTGCTCCACTGTTGCATGGTCCTGGCGCGTGTGCATGTGGAAGAAGCCTTGCTGTTGCCAGCTTGTGGGGAGGGGAGTCACAGTAAATTTTATGTAGATTTCCTAACACAAATTATGTTCATTTGCCGGCGTTGCATGTTCTTATCCCTGCCGCCAGCAAAAGACCTGCTCCCTCGCCCGCTGACTGAGTGAGAACTTTATGAAAAACCCGTTTTATGTTTGTTTAATTCCTAGCCTGAGTACCTTCTATATAAGAAATCCAGCTGTTTTCGCCAAAACTGAGCAGCCATAAGTCTTAGAGATGGAAATTTAGTTTCCAGAATAAAAGAAAATATTTACATAAATTTGTCTACTTGTTAAAGGAAATAAAGAAATACCTAAAATTCTAATTTGTGGCTTGAAAATGTTTCCTAAAATATTATAGATGGGAAATCAACATAATATCGAATCATTTCTCTTATGCCGCAATCAATTTTTCAAAACTAGATCTGCTTTTATATTTAAGATTTTTGGAATAACTTTAACTAAGTTGAAATTTCTCACATATAAAAAATATATCCATTTTTTGTATAGAATAAAATCGGAGTTTGGAATCTTTGTATAATAATAACAAATAATTTATACAAAAAAATCTATTTCATATAAATTGAAACATTTTTTTGCCATACAGGCAAGCTCAACTTTAGTTAAGAGAAAGCTTAATGATACTTTCTCTTTAGAGAGCGTGACACGACATTTGTTGTTGTGAGAAAAGTCCCCATCTCCAGAAGAGACAACAAGCCAGGCAGGCAGGACAAAATTTTAGTTTGATTGGGGAACAATTTTATTAGAAACTTAATCGTGATTTGTGGCCAGTTTCGTTGCTCGGGCAACGAATAAATTTATAGATTAAGTTTTCATATGCAGATAATTTAAATGAGTTCTCATGGGCAGAGTGGAAACTCGAACTGGAAACTAACCGCAAATTGTTAAAGCACACGACACACAGGTAGTTGGCCAATGTCTTATGTTCACATCTGCATTATTCATCGTTGTTGCTATCGAAACGTTCGTTTGTCAACTGAATCGCATCGTCCAGATAATGATATATCACAATCAGCGCTATAATCAGCAGCTGAAGCAATTGCAGCTGCAAGGCAAAGAAAGCATATAAAATAAAAAGTAAATATTATACAAATTATTTTTTACTTACCAGTGCAAAGTTGGCCACATCAAAGCGCCAGATTGAGAGGAATTTAAACCGAAAGCAGTTCGATAAAATGGCGCGCATATCCTTGGCAATGCGACGCATTCGCTTTGGCAGGACAGTTCTTTGGCCAAGAGCTGTGCTCAGTCGCTCCGAGAACTGAATGCTCTGCAAGAAGAATAACCAAACCAGCTTGAACCCGGAATTCCAATTGTTTTCTTTTTACCATGAAGCGAACCTTGAAGCGGATCAGGTGGATAAATAACAGGCGAACCTAAGCCTGAACCGAACTCTATTTCTCTAAAAAGAGTTCGGTTCCAAAGTATTGTTTTTTTCTATTTGTATACATATTTGTAAAAAAGTGCACTTCTTCCAATGAATCAAACATTTGTATATCATTAACACAATTGTTGATAAAATGAATAGTTCAGGCAGTCGAAGAAAATTCGTCGAACCAAGTTTGTCTGGAAACCAGTTTAATGAACCGAAAATTGAGGCAAGCAGTTCCTTGGAACCGTGAACCAAACCACCGTAAACGTTTCTTAGGCTTGCTGCCATGCCAAATATCTCTGAGGTCATTTGAGGCAATACCCACCTGTTGCTCGAGCAGGGTCTGCGCCAGCAGCAAACACAGATAGTCGCAGCCAATGCAGGCGTAGATGGAGGCGTTGCCGGCATAGAAGATGCGCTGCCTGCGGTCATCGAAGAGCACGTACCACGTGCTGCTGTAGTAGACGAAGGCGTACAAGCCAAAGAGCAAGCAGTTAGCATTGATGCCCAGCAGCAGCAGCAGGGAGTGCTCCAAAGAATCAAAGAAGTTACCAAAGTTCGCTGCCAGCTGCTGTAGCTGCTCGCACTGGCTGAGCAGGCTGTCCACAGTGGAGGGCGTTGCAGCTATGGACACGGAACTGGCGCCCGCCACCAGCTGCATTTCAGTTCTCATTTGGCCAATGGTCAGCAGCTCGTCGACTTCCGCCTGCAGCTGTTGCAGGCGCTCACGCGCTAGCCAGGCAAAGATGCAGTAGAAGCGCAAGGCGCCGGCGAGCACAAGATGAGGCACGAAAAGAGCAGAGCCAACCATGATATCCTTTAGCGGCGGCAGCTTGAACTCCAGCTCGTAGCCGATGTACAGGCCAAAGCAGAGCAGCACCACGAACGTGGAGCACAGCAGGCCATAGGCGAAGAGCTCCTTCTTGACGTGGCGGTGTCCCGGCGGGCTCTTCAGGGGCAACGAGGCCGTCAGTGCACTTGCCACGCCCACAGCACGCACAGAGGCGTAAATGGCGTAGCTAAACACCTTGATGCTCAGCAGAAGCTGCAGTCGGGTTAGGCCGTATAGAAAAGGCGACACATCCTGCAGCGTCTTCAGCAGCGCCGAGGGCTGAAAGTGCTGGGCAAAGCAGCCGGCATAGACGCAGGCCAGCACAAAGACATTGACCACGCCGGGCAGGGAGATCCGATAGCGCTGCTGCTTGGCGTCGAACCAGTGCATCTGGTAGCCCGTGAGTAGCAGCAGAACATTCGAGGAGCGTATTACGCGGCTGGGGTTACTCATTTTCGGGCTCTTCGCAATAACCAAACCGATGCGGTGCGAACTTTCGACTAACCCGGCCCGAGTGAGGCATCAGTTTTGAGGCATCAGCACATGGAACGCCTTGGGGTCTTATCTGTGCATCGAACTGTGACAAATATCCAAAATATCCACATACCACAGTGGGACCCAAGTGAACCGTGTCGCAGTTCCAGCAGCGGGTCACGTGAAATTAAAGCTCAATAATGATGAGCTGCCGATATTTTGAATATTTATGTGGACTTTAAATCGACTTGTTGGTTTCGGTTACTCGATTACCCAATTAAATGTGCGACGGCAATTAAATGAATTTTTATTTCATATGCCCAGCCACTGAAAACATAATTAGACTAATTATATTTTAACTAGTTTGAATACCGAATTGAAATACTTTTGCAATGATAAAAAATATGTGTAAGAAGCAGAAATATTGCAAAAGCCATAAAAGATATATCTATATAACATGACAGGTAGGGTATATATTGATATTAAAGTGTTAATGTATATTTTAAAGTTTATCTGCCACGCAACATAACAGCTCAGACAAAACAATTCGGTTGCACCCGACTGCGCAGTACTCGCTCAGCTCGAAACAGCCCTTTAGTCATATTTATAAAGAGATATTGATATTTCCAATCGATCGCTCCAAGCGGACGGGGGGTATGCTAAATATTTTGCATCCGATCTTCACATGACTTCATAAGAAATCTTTATTCCACATATGTCGTGGATATATAAACCTTACAGTTTATCTGCTGCGAATGTATACATAATCCAAGCTATAAGTCTAAACAAACGATGGAAACAAGCTAAGAGTGCCTATCTATTCACTTTGTGAAAGAGTATTAAGAATTAGAAAAAATGCTTCAGGACCCGTCGAATAACAAACGTAAATGTATTTAACGAATGTTCGAGTAAAACAATGCCGACGAATTCAATTTGATGATCACAACTAATCTTTCGAAAAGTGAACTTTTGTCTAATTTATATAACTACCCCTACTGGGAGCTTCTCTTGAGATCATATACATATATACATAAACCTATCTACCTTTCAACAAATTTTGATTAATTATTTTATATGTTACATATAATATTAATCAATATTTATCACATTTAATTTGTAATGCCAAAAGGATCGTGAAAAATGGTTCGCTAAGCAGGGCTCTCAGGAAATATAATAAAATTAAAAAGACTTTTAAACCGAAACTGTTTCCATTTATATTTACAATTCATAGAAAACCTTTCATTAAACGTACAGAAATTAGATAGTTAGCAGACAAATAGTTCTGATGCGCTGATGATTACTTAAGTGGAGAAATAACTAGATATTATAAAGACGGCGACGTGCTCGAATTGCGTAGCAAATGCTTTTGTTTGCGCCTAGAGTCAACAGGTTAAGCGAATGCCTAATGAAAAGTCGTAAAGTTTCGGCAAAAACCAAAGATTCCAAAGGCAGCTCAAAGAGCCGCCGCATAGGGTTGGGGGCTAGAAGTGAAAATTTCACATATTCTTAATTAGAATGTGGACGCATGTCGTGTGCGGTATTTCTCAACTTCAAACGCCAGCCAGGGGTGTTGGGGCTAGTAAGTAAGCCCCGGTAAGCGGCAAATGGGCTTAGAACGCGCCTCCACGGGGTCTGTCAACACCAGATAGCGACTGTTTTGATACAGCTCCCGGAACACAGGGTGCAGCTGTGCGGCTGGCTGCAGCTCAAGTGTCAACATGGAAATTAGAAACAATTAAAAGGCAACGCCGACGTCTTACGTACTCAAATATTTGCCAGCCGGTAAAATCTTAGAAACTGCCTCAGATTCCCCTTTGTGCCAAGTACCTTGCCGTCCTCGTTCTCGTGATCTGTGTGCAGTGTTTAAGTAGCTCACTTCAGGCCAAAGGCAAACAAGCCGAATGTGAAACAAATGAAGATTCAAGACAAAGACAAATAATTATGTGCACATCTATTTCATTAGAGACATCAGCGAGAGGGTGTGAGAAGTTGATCAGCTACAGCATTTAAGCCGTTACAAAACTCACTTCTAATACAATAAATCAAAAAGAACAGTTTAATATTCTAAATCTAAAAAATAAACATTGATAACTATTCATTTTGTTTCGCTCTATATACATTTTAGTTTCTTAATAGTTTATTAAATAAACTATTGCGACAATTTGTTGAACGGCCAAATGACAAAATTTGTTGGATAGTATTTTATCTCCTCTCATCAATTAGATTATATTTGAGTTCATGTTTGCTCTACGTGTATAAAAAGCTTGAATCTGTCCTTATGCAACTATTTATCTTTCCTGCTGCTGAATTGATAATCGAAGGCAAAGCTAATTGAAACTAATTTTCAGTTAGTTCTTAAATTATCCCAACATATTGCTTTGGTTGAGCTACTTTTCTTCTCTTATAAGAACGATTCATATAAAAGCTTTTGCCTTTTAAGCAAAACATAATAAATAAATTAAAATGTAAGATATATTATTATAATACATAAATATATATTAAAGTATTCCATTAATATAACTCTAATTGTATGAAATATGTGACACTTTTACCAAGTATATAGATTCCTAGTCTACATTTACTCCATATAATTTAAAAGTGAACAAATATTGATAGCTTAATATAAACTTAAAAACTTATAAAAATGGGCAATTAAGTATATATCGATATCTAGCTTAGCCAGTTATTCATTAACCATATAAAAAAGAGGCTGGTTAAAAATGGACCAATTATTTTGTGGACGATGCAAGTTATTTAGATCCTTAAACATTTTATACTCTCAACCAATCGCTGTGAATACCCCAATTCTTAATTTAAACAAAACCCTGTCAAAGCCAGAAAAAAAGAAGAGTTGCATATTTTTGCATGCAAAGCAAATGGAGTACATTTCGGCAGCAGGTTTACAATTATCAATCAGCATTAAAGCATCGAAATGTGGCTTGGCTCGCTTATAAGCCATAACTCTTTGTTGGCAGAAGCCTGTTTTACCTTTTGGCCAGCGGCAAAGTCATAATTCAATAAATAAATGCAAGGATGACATGTGGACAGCGGCAACATATCGCATCGAATGCACTCAGATGCGCACAGGAAAAACTGCGCCGCGGCCGAAACGAGGCGCGGGAATGAGAGCCCTTTGAATACCTCTCGACGCATCCTACGAATGAATGAAGCAAAATTTACGGTCGCCCATTCGTTAAGGAAAACAAAGAGCTGCCCCCAAAGTGGGCGTATGGGCGAGTGGGCGTGGGCGGGCAGCCAGTGATTATATGCAGCCGCGCGGAAAAGATGCCACAGCAAGTGGCGTATGGAATACGCTGCGTTATTCCCGTGCACCTCGCAGGCCAGGACCAGAACCAGGACCACAACCTGAACCAGCACCAGATCCAATGCAAATCTATTAACGTGCGGCCAGGACATTCGCACAAGGACATGCGTCAACTGCGCTGCTCCGGCAGGCCGCGCATGCACTCAACAGCTCAGCCCTTGCACAGTCACGCAGCGGGCTTTGATGGCCATCAGTTCCGGAGGATGTCGAAAAATTCGGGCATAGGCAGGTAAATAATGCATCAGGGTTAGTCAGAAGTGGGCAGAGAAATATAAAATACTTAATACTTAATATTGGACATGACTGGAGCTCAGTGTGGCAACGCCGCGCGGATAAACTGACATGAGAGTTGGCAGAACAGGTCAAGGATTTCAAAAGTTACTAATTAACCGCTCTTTAACTGTCTAACCTTGAAGTGATCCAAACTATATATACCTTTTTTTTAAATAATTCAATTCAGAATAGAAAGCATTTGAGGATCCGGATCCCAGATCCAAGGAATAAAAAACACTCTTCCCGTCTTAATACCATATTTGGAAGATATCACATTGGGTGGAGATCGAATCTAGCCCACATCGTGTATATGAAAATATATATATACAAAACAAGGATTGCACCACGACCTGGGCTGGGATGTGAGAAACCAGCTTTAGGAACGGACCATAAAACCAGGAGTCGGTTCGAGTCGCGAATGCTTTGGTAATAATTGGAAATTTTCGAAATGAAATATGAGAAGAATTTAAAGCAATTATGAAGACATAAACGGGAAAATTCAAAATTAATGAAAATTAATAAGATAATATATAAATATGTACATTTATATATCATATTTATATATTATAAATAATCAAAATAAAATAAAAAATTGCAATCAATAAAATAGTAAGCTCTCCAATCGAAATGCGAATATTGTCATCAGCCTGAGTACCCCTAGTGCAATGCATACAAAATGTGGGGATTCGAACTTGTTCACCGTCAACCATTTGGCTGTGTTAAACGCGATGATGATGATCCAGTTCCAGTGGGCCGTGGTAAGAAATTATGATGCATTTTTATGGATTTTCGATGTTTTTGCATGGTGCAGTTTTTCGGGAGGATTACGTTTCATCAAGGGGTGTGCATGTGTGTGCGGGAGTGTGTGTGCGGGTGTGTAACTGAGCTAGTGCATTGCACGGCCGTGTCCGGGAATGGGGAACGGGAACCCGCAGAGGCCGCGGGGGCTGTTGCGTTTTTTGTCAAATGTGAAGCATCCTGTGCTGCATCGAAGGTGGGGTCCTTGCGTGTGGCCATTTTTTGTAGCGCGTCGGCCCAAACTGATTTATGCTCCTTGATGGACGGTTTCGGTTTCGTTTTTCGGCAATGCAAGTAGCACCCCCGCAGCCCTCGAACAGCCCCGCACCCGCCGCCGTCGAGTGCAGCAAAAAATCAACGCGGCCAGGCAAAAAAATTTATGCATTTTCATTGATATGCAAAGCACTGCAATCGGTTGTATAGGGGAGGGAGGGGGGTTTGTCCAGCGTTCGTCGAAGATGAAGAAGAGGCCGAACTTGTGTGCGCGTTTCCGTTTCCGTTTGCAATGCAGCTGAGCGGGTGCGAGTGTGTGTGTGTGTGTGTGTGTGTGTGTATGGTGCGTACGTAGGTCGACATGTTTGGCGTATTGTCGAA